TTCAGGCAACAAGAGCCCCGGACCTCCCAGACAGCCCTGCTCTCCCCGCAGTGACGCCGCCGTGTCCGTGTGAGGCTGTGTCCCGACCTCGGGGGCCGTAAAGTGTGCGCCTGCACTTGACTAAACGCGGTCAGCTTTCAACGGGGGGCCGCTGGCGAAGGAAACACTTCACTGTACGCCTCCCACAAAGCTGTAACTACTCTCATAACCGAGGCGCAGCCTCTTGTCTGGGGTGAGCACGCAGACTCGGAGTGGGGGGGGCTGGCCGAGGAGCAACCCGGCTGTGCTGTCCCGGCAACCCTGACGCTGGACCGCCCCTGCCACCAGAGGTCAGTGCCCGTCACTCCATCATCCTCAAACGGTCAAGTGCACCGCGAGCCTCCCTGGGCGGCAGGCTGCCCTGAAGCTCAGCGAAGGGGCTGCTCCACCTGGTGACCGCTGACCGTGGACACACGGAGCCGGCTCTCCCCGAAGCGAGTCAGAGTGTCGTTTCTCAGGCTCTGCCATTATCCGTCCCCTCCTCTCATACATGTGTCCCCAGGGGTCCCATCCCCGGGAAACGAGAACCACAGGTACACAGGCTGCCTGTCTGTCCGGGCACCGCGGCCCTGCGAGTGTCCATGCTGACCCGCCTTGCTCTGAATCCGAGTTTGGGGACGCGCTCCGGAAAGGCTGTGCCTTGGAAAATGCCCTGCGGGCGGAGGAGGAGCGGCCAGGACAGAATGCGCCTCCTGGGAGGAAGGGAGCAGGCAGGTGGGAGAGGCGCAGGACAGGTGGACAGAGCCGCCAGAGCACCTTAGGGGCCACCTGCCCCACCGAGGAGTCTGCGACAGCTGACACAGAGGGAGGGCGGCCAGGAGATAACAGACGAGATTCCTCACGTGCCAGAATGACAGGTGTGTTCATCACAGACAAGCTGCTGGACGCGCCCCTCTCTCCGAGGGCGTCCGTGGGCTGGGTCTCGGCGCTCGAAGGTGCCTGCCCTCGGTCCTGACGCTACGTGGGTTTGGGACAGTTAATCCTGATGAACGCACGCGGAGATGTGACGCCCAGAACAGCACAACACGACAGCTGGAAAGCGAAAGCAGGACTCTGGGCCGGGTGTGGCTCTCCTCTCTCTGCACACGCTGCACCCCAAGTTCCCGTGAGGGAACTCCAGTCGCCCCCTTATCCACTGGCTCCCTGTCTGTGGTCTCAGCTTCCCACGGTCAGCCGTGGCCCGAGAACGCTCAACGGAAAATTCCTGAACTAAACAATTCGCCACCGTCAAGCTGCGCGCCATCCTGAGTTGCACGGTGCAGCGTCACCCCACCCCCGCTCTGGGCTGCCGGGGACAGACAGGCCACCTCCCTCTGTCCACCGTCTCCCACCGCGGACACTCCTCCCCGTGCGTCACTCAGCCACCTCTGCGCTGTCGGACCCCCTGCTTCGGTGCGGCAGGGCCCGTGCCCGAGTCACCCCGACTTTACTGAAGGATGACCCCGAAGCGCACGCGCAGTGATGCCGGCAGCTGGGCCGCGCCCGAGGGAAGCCGCTCATGCTTCCTGCGTGTGGAAAGGTGCGCACAGTGTGTGTGCACAGGGAAGAACTGGGTGCGACGGGCTTCGGGGCTGCCAGTGGTTTCGGGCACCTGCCGGGCATCTTGGACCGTGTCCCCTGTGGGTAATGAGGGGCTGCCGCGTAAACCTGTACGGCACTCAGGGAGGCGCCGAAACACCGTCGAGCACCTACTGTGTGCCAGCCACAGCAGGCACCGGGGAGGGAAGGAGAGGAGTCGTCAGAGAAGCGGAGAAGGGGCCCGGGGCACGGCCTCGCAGAGAGGGTGGGCCGCAGGGGAGCCTTGGTGGGCGGGTAAGGTCGGCAGGGTGCAGGCCGCACGCGGAGAAGGCCTCCCTCCCAAACGTGGTAACACCTGGAGGCGCAGGGACAGGAGGGGACATACCAGGACTGGGAGGGACACAGGGCGAACTGTGCCTGCAGGCCAAGCCCGGCCCTTTTCCTGTGTGCAGTCTGACCTGACCGGTCTGGTCCCCGGCTGCCACCTGCCTCGCTGCGGCGCCGCGCCGGCGAGCTGAGAGACAGCGTGGGGGACGGAGACCAGCTGGCCCTCTGCAGAAGCCGGGGGACACGTGGCCTGGAGCCCTGGTGCTCAGGGAGGCGTCTGTGAGGCAGGAGCATCTAGGGGTCCGGCCCGGACGCACGGAGCTGGAACCTGCCTCCTCAAAAGGTCTCTGGTGATTTGTACGCCCAGAAAGCTCTCCTGCCACCGGCGTGTGGGGCTGGGAGGAGGCGGTGAGGCCGCCGGTGAGGAAGAGCAGGTGTTTACCCCGTACAGAGTGGGGGGGGAAGCGGCGAAGATTTCCCCGTAAAGGAGCGGAGCCATCGGCCCACGCTCCGCGAAGGGCCCCGGTCACACCGCGACAGCCCGAAGGGTTGACGGCAGGGAGCGGCGTCAGGATCCACGCCAAGACCCAGGCAGCGCAGGGGGCGGCGCCAGATGGCCCCTTCTTTCCTCCTAGGAGCAAATGACATTTTGAGACACGACTCCAATTTCACTAATGCTTCCGGTTTGTTGCCAACAAACACAGCACCACTTATAATTTATCAGGAAGCAGAAAAACACTTAGTAACAAAATATCAGGAGTCGCGTGTTGCCACGCACACCAAATGCATCTCCGTCTAAGTAATGCTTCCGGACGGCGATGCATAAATGATGACAGTCTCCGGATGGGGAGGAAGTTTAAAGCTGACACGAGGATCAACTCATCAGCCATCTATTATGTAGGCTGCGAACACATCAGTTCACAGGATATTTAAAGGTGTGATGTCTTATGTTAGAATTTCCCCTCCCCAAATAAATGCACGATTCTGCTTGATACTCAGTTTTTCTGTATTTTGGATGAATAAGCAATCTAAAGTTAAAAAAAACCCACAACAAACCAAAGCAGTGTTTTAGACCGCACGCCGACACTGCTCCTTCTCCGAGCCATCGCCTCACCTTCTGCCTCCTCGACAACGCAGGACAGTCTGCCAGGGGTGTCTGCGGGTGCGGCATGCTTCAACGCAACGGCAGCAACAGAGAGAGACACAGACGAGCGAAAACGGAAACGCCCCCCCTCAGGGGCCCGGTTTCCTACTCCACCTTCGCTCCACGGGCAGAAACAAGGCAAAGGGAACGAGGCTTCTACATCTGCTCGGAACGGTGCACCCTCATCAGTCACTAAACGTCAAGGAAGAACAGAACCCATCAAACCGCGTGCTGAGAAGACTTCCCACGATGAAATTCACCGGTAAAGGCTGGGGAAGTCTGCGAGTTCAGTGCGGTGGTGGAGGCGACAGTTAAGAGGTCACCATTAGTAACGCCTGCGGAGGACTTCCTCAGGGTTGCGCCCTGCACTCAACCTCCCCGTCTGGGCCATTCCGTTTCATCCTCAACATACCCTGGTACAGCTCTCTCTCTAAATGGGGACACTGAGGCACAGAGAGGTTACGTGACTTGTCCCAGGCCACACAGCTGCGCAAGAAGGGGAGAGATGGTTTGAAGCTGGGCCTGGGTTCCGGACCGTAACTGTGGTGACTCTCTGATTAGCACCTTTCCTCCCCTTTCCCGTGGTGCCCAGGTGAGTCAGCACAAACGGTGGGATGCAGTGGGCTCTCATTGTTACTACCATCACCGACAAAGAAACCCCCTATGATTCAGATATTCTAAATCTTAATGGAAAGGTGGGGGCGGGGGCACACCATAGTGCCCTGTGGACAGTGGCCAACATTTGACTTGTGATATAATAAACAAAGGGATAATGAGGCGGATTCCTCAGTAGGATAATTTCTCAGTAGGATAAAATGCAAATGAAGTCCCAGTAAAATTCTGCAATATGTATCATGCAACTGCTTGTTAGCAGGAGATACGGATGCAGACCTTTAATGCTAATTAGCACAAATGCATTATTCTCTGGCTAAGATGTGTGTGGAACACTACAGGGAATCTGAAACGAAATAAATGTGGGCACTGGCCCAGCACTACCTACCGGGCTACCGGGCCCATGTGGGCTGTGCCCATCCTTTAAGGAGCCGCCTGGTCGGACCTGGACGGGGGTATGAAAGTTGGCCCGAGCGCCCACACGGCACGTTCTTTGTTGCAGGAGCTGGACTTTGTCAATATTCTCGGGAAAACAGAGAAGTTCACTAAATAAATAATGCAAGTCCACGAGACAGTGTGCAGGCCCTTCACATTCCTCGAATTGTGGGGCGTCTCATGCAAAGTTCTCTTCTCACTTTGAGCTCATTCTGTTCCACCTGAACTACTGATTCTGCCCAACACCAAACTATTCCCTTTCAAATGTTTAAGTTTCAAAATAAGACGCAAGTAAAACCTCGTCGTATCCCATTTTGAACATTCATTTTGCCAAAGAACAAACCATTCCCTTCACGTTTTCGATAGCTTCAAAATAAGATCCAGATGAAGAAAGAAAAAAAAAACAAAACAAAAACGGGCGGGGGCAACCCAGCGAGAGGAGAAGAGGCGGCAGGAATGATGGAGCGACAGAGTCACCTGAACTCCAAACCAAGTCACTCGGGGGCTCCAGGTCTCCCCGATTAACTTTCCCTATTTACAACAGGGCGACACACCCTGGCGGCGGCGCTTTCGCGAATACGCGTCAGGGCACAGTTCGCGTTCTTCGCAGGGATGGACCACGAACAGCATTTGGGGGTTGCCCCTGCGGCATTCCAGGCAATTACCACTGCATGACACCTGGCTCTCTGTCGGGCTCGGCTGGTAAGGACAAAAGGAGCGACCATCCTGGCACCCCGCTCGCCTTCCCCTGCGGAGGCACCGCGGGCCACTGCGGACGCGCCCCGCCAGCCCCGCGCCTCCATCGCCCGCCGCCGGGCAGACCGGCGGGGCGCTCGGCGGGGCGCGCGGCCTCCGGGGCGCGGGGAGCCGGCGGCCCGGCCCCTGGGCGCAGGAGCAGAGGCGCGTCCCGGCGGGGGGCACTCACCTTCTTCCAACTCGAATTTCTCCAGCATGCCGGCTTCCGCGGGTCGGGGGGCCGCCGCCAGCGCCGCCTGAGGAGGAAGAGGACAGGGATCAGCATGCGCTGGGCGGCGCTCGTCCCCGCGCGGGGCGGGGGCGCGGGGACGCGGGAGTCGGAGTGGTGGGGAGGGACGGGGGCGGGCTCCGCGGCCCCACGGAGCGCTGCGGCCTCACCCGGCGGCGGCGCAGCCGCCAGGAGGAGGGGCCTCTGCGCGCGGACGGGACAGAAGGGGACGCGGCGCGGCCCAGCCCCCGGCCCGCCCCCGCCGGACCTGCGCCCCTCCCCGAGTGGAACAGCCCGACTCCCCTGCCGGCGGCTTTGGTACGGGCCGGCGGAGGAAAACGCGTGGGAAGAGGACCCGGGCGTGCGAGCGGCAGGCACATCCCCTCCAGCCGGGGCCCTGTCCCCGCAGGGCCGCGCGGCCATTAGCGGAGGAGGCCGCCGCGTTCTCATCGCCGCCTCGCCCTCCCACCCGCCGCGCACCTCCGCTCACCTCCCCCGCACCCACGGCCAGCGCGTCCCCGCGGGCTTAACCTGCGCAGGTGCGGCCTGGGCCAGCCCGGGGGTGGGGCGCGAGGGGCGCGCCGCGTGGGGGTGGGGGGCGGGGCGGGGCGACGCGCGGAGCGGGGGGCGGGACCCAGAGGGGAAGGCTCCGCGGGCCAGGGTGACTGCACTTCTTTCTTAAATTTTAGGTTAAACTGCCCATCCCCCTCGCGTACTAAAAGGAATTGCTCCTTGGGTCCCAGGTACAGCGCCGCCTGCACTTTGCCGCTGCCGCTGCCACCAGCCACGGAGGTCTCCATTCGCTGCCCGTCCCACGACTCCCTTCTCGGGGTGCCCCGCTGCCAAAAGCTCGCACAAATCTAAACCTGGCCCTGGCCACTCTGTCGCCCTGCATCTGATATCCGAGACTCCCCTATCGCCGGCTCAGGCTGGCAGGCAGCGCAGCTGGCGGCCGAGAGCCGGCCGGCCGCCGGAAAGAGCAGCGCAGCGCGGCTGGGCAGAGCACAGGCACCCCGCTCCCGAGGCTCTGCTGTGTGATTTCTGCCTCATCTCCGGATGGGGGGAGGGGGGGCGGGGCGGGGCTCAGCTCAGCCCCCAGGGCCAGGGCCCTGATAATGAGCTGAGCTCCCCGCTCTGACTGGGGCTGGCAGTGGGCCCCCGGCCTCTGGATAGGAACTTGGTTTTATCGCGCTTGCAAACCACGCCAGGAGAAGGAAGTACCAAAATCTCCTGCGGGCTTGCTTTCTGCTCCGTCATCCCAGTTGAGCCCAACCCTACATCTTAAGCTTCTTCTTAAACAGAGGGGGGTGGAGAGGTAGTAGGGGTAAGAAAAAAGGACAAAATACATTTTGTCAGAGGATTGGTGGTAAAAACCCACAGCTGTGTCATGCTTAGCAGCCAAAGACTGACTGTTCCTCCTAAGTTCAGGGCATAAAGCAAGGATGTCTGCCTTCTGTCCTTTTTCAACATAGTACAGGAAGTTCCAGCTGCTGCAATAAAGCAAGAAAAATTAATAGCAGGCACACAGATCGCAAAGAAAGACACAAAACCATCCCTATTTGCAGATGACACGGTTTTCTGCATAGAACGTCCCGAGGAATCTAAAAGTGAACGAACAAATGAACAAAAAAAGCCCCCAAAGTAGGACTAGTGAGTTTAGGGTGTGATACCAGAGCAACACACAACAATCAACCTCATTTCTATATACTAACAATGAACATGTAGAAAACTGATATTAAAAACAATACTATCCCTGGCTGGTGTAGCTCAGTGGATTGAGCTCAGGCCTGCGAACCAAAGAGTCGCTGGTTCGATTCCCAGTCAGGGCACGTGCCTGGGTTGCAGGCCAGGTCCCTGGTCGGGGGGGCATGTGAGAGGCAACCACACACTGATGTTTCTCTCCCTCTCTTTCTCCCTCCCTTCCCCTCTGTCTAAAAATAAATAAAATATTTTTAAAAAACAAAACTACAATTGCTGCAAAGGACATTAAATACTCAGCGATAAACTGAAGGGAACACACGAGGTCTGCAGGCTGAAAGTGACAAAAGGCGGGTGCAACAGAGAGAGACCTAAACAGACGCAGGGGCGCCGCACATTTGTGGACTGACTGGGAGACCCAACGTCTTGGGGATGTCCGTTCACCCCCAAAACTGATCTCGAGGTTTCGTGCACATCCTGTTGAAATGCCGATCAGTTATTTGTAGACAAGCTTAGTGGAGCGTTCATAAGGAAACACTCAGGTTCTGGAACAGCCAAAGCCGTCTCGGACGAAAAATGAGGGGCAGGACTCGCCCGGCACGAAGCTCACCCCAAGGCCGCAGCAGTTGGGACTGCGAGTGCTGCATGTGATTCCACTCACACGGTGTGGAATTCAGAGAACCGAGTAAAGGAACACAATGGAAACAGACTCGTGGACAGAGAGCAGCAGCCTCATGGCTGCCGGAGGGGCGGGGGCGGAGGGCTGGGGCCTGGGTGGAGAAGGGGAGGGACTGAGGAGCACGGACAGGCGGTCACAGACCAGTCACGGGGGCGGAAAGTCCAGCAGTGGGAACAGGGCCGGTAGCGCTGCAGTAACCACGCGGGGGGCCAGGAGAGGGCTGGAAACATCGGGGGGAACACTTCGAAAAGTACAGGATTGTCGAACCACCGTGCTGCACACCTGAAACTAATACAGAGTAACATGGAATGTGAAGTGTGATTGAAAAATAAGATAGAGACAGACTACGGAGTACGGGCAGAGGGACAGACTCACGGTCCATCGGGGCAGAGAATCTGACCCACCCATGTGCGTCCCGCTGGTGTCTGCAGAGCAACTGGACACAAAGGTATACAGGGGGCCAAGGCGCACAGGTGAAGCTGCTCAACGTCATCAGCCAGCAGGGACACGCAGACTGGAATCACACTAATCCATCACTATCCCCCCACCAGCATGGCCCGGATAAGGATGGTCCGTGCTGCTGAGGACGCAGAACAACAATCACTGCTGCCTCGCTGTGGGGACACAAAGTCGGACCCCGGCTCTGGAAGGACAACGTGACGGTTTCTCATGAAACTACACCTGCAGCTGTCACACGACACAGCGATGGCACGCTTGGGCATTCATCCCAGATGACATGACACGTACGTTTACACGAACACCTGTATGCGAATGTTCCCGGCAGCTTCTCTCGTGAGGGCCCAGCCTGGACGTAACAGATGCCATTCGCCGGGTGACTGGTTAAGCAAACCACAGCCACGCATCACTTAACGACGGGAGCGCGTTCTGAGAAATGCGTCGTTAGGTGATGACATCACGGTGCAAACGCCACGGCGTGTGCTTCCACAGGCCTGGATGGCGCAGCCCACGGCACGCCTGGCTGTACGATATGGCCCGCGGCTCCTGGGCCTCCAGCCTGCACAGCGGGCTGCTGCACTGCACAATGGAGGCAGCTGCAACACGAGGGCGAGTACCTGTGTGTCTGAACACAGGAGAGGCCCGGGGAAGGGCACCGCAGGCAGAAAACGGTCTCCCTGTAAGGAGCGCTGACCAGCAACGGAGCTCACGTTTCCACGTGGTTCCGGAAGCCGCTCTGGGTGCGGCAGGGAGTGGCGAATGGACGTGAAGGCTCAGGGCATTGCTGGGCACCACCACAGACTTGGCAAATGCTGTAACACAGGCCACACTAAATGTATAAAGTAGTATTCTTTCTCCAATAATAAATTAACCTTAGTTTACTGTAACTTTTAAAAAAAGATTTTATTTATATTTTAGAGAGAGAAAGAGAGGGAGAGAAACATCAATGTGTGGCTGCCTCTCACGTGCCCCCAACTGGGGGCCTGGCCCACAACCCAGGCATGTGCTGTGACTGGGAATTGAACCGGCGACCCTTTGGTTCGCATGCCTGTACTCAACCCACTGAGTTACAGCAGCCAGGTACTGTAACTTTTTTTAACAAAAAGTTTTAAAATACTTTGACTCTTGTAATAATACTTAGCTTAAAACAAACATTTTATACAGCTGTACAAAACCATTTTCTTTGTGTTTTTATGCTGTGTTTTTTCTATTTAAAAATTTTTTAATTTTAAGGTTAATTTATTATTGGAGAAAGAATATTACTTTATAAATTTAGTGTGGCGTATGTTACAATACAGTGTTTGTAATTTTTAAAATATTTTTGTTGTTTGATTTTTAAAAAGTATGGTGGTACGGTGGAAGTGTCGATCATTTTACTTTTTGAAAAGTCCACATTTTGATTTCTTGCAGTAATTTTGGTATAATTTAAAAAGACTGGGGGGTGGGAGGGCGGAATGGGCGGAGGAAGGCAAAGAAGGAACAGTGGGGCATCTGTAATAGAATAACAGTAAGAAAACCTTAAAAAAGAAAGAATAGTTCTAATTAAAAAAAAATTAAAAAGACACCCTCGTTGCTGTTGATTCGGCCGCCGCCAGTTCACCTTTAACCCCGACGGGCTGCGTTTTGGAGGCAGGAACGGGCGGCAGCGGGCGGCGTGTTCGCCCTTCCGGAGGCTGCCGGCTCTGCAACCACGGCCCCCGGACGCCGGAGTCCTGTCCCCGTCCCCGCAGACAGTGGTGGTGGCGAGTGGAAATGGACACAGATCCCCGTGAGCCTCGTAGGGGTGACGGCACTCGATATCAGGCGCACAGGAGGAAGCTACAATAAAACGATTCTGAATCGTGCCAGCGAGAACCGTTACTTATTTCCACGGGGGGTTTTCACTTAGAAGTCCCGTGTCTTCTTGCTTGGAAAGGAGCGCAGTCCCAGGAGACTGGAGAGGGCAGAAGAGGAAGCTCTCCAGGACACAGGAGGCCGAGGGGGTGATGGGTTAGTTGGTGCGAATAACTGAAAGTCGGTGGCTGTCAGCTGCCCTTTCCGTGGTGATGTTTTCTGGAAGTCTCAACAGACCTATACGCCTGGCTTAACTGTAGCAATTTCGGGGGTGGGGGAGGGCAAGGCCGGAGGGGCCGGAACGGGCAGGGGCCTGCGTGGGTGCCAGTCCCCGCCCGCCCTCTCCGGAGCTCCACCGAGTG